ACCTGGGTGTCTGCAGAGTTATTTCTCTGAGTCTCACTCCTTTCTTCTGCACAGCAGTTTTTACCCTTCCCTAAATGTGTTATCACAGAGGCTCTGCTGTCACTGGTGGGCTCAGACTTGAGCAGCAGCAGGTCCAACCTGGATCTGGCCAGCACTGGCTCTGTCTGAAACAGGGGCAGCTTCTGGTATCTTCTCACAAAAGCCAGTCCTGCAAATTCTCTCCCCTTCGCCCTCTCTGCCCACTGCCAAAACCTTTACAGATAAACCCAATACATATATAAAAATTGACATATAACTAAAGAGTGAGTGCAAATTAGTATACATAAACACCTTTATAATTAAATTTTCTTCTCAGATATTGTATAATGTCTTCATAGCTTATGTTGATAACGTTGGTTTTTCAGGGGGAATCTACTAAGTTCCATGAAGACACCCTACAAGGAAGGAAAGCCCTGTGGGGATTGCCCTAATGCTTGTGAGGATGGATTGTGCAGTAAGTTCTAAGTATTTCAATTGTGTCCTGGGTAAAGTTGATGCTTTAAAAAAAAACCTAATTTATACAAATTGAATTTTTTTGGAATTATTTGCTTAAATACAGGGCCAAAAGCACTATTACAGAATCACATTTTACCATATTGGTGCTTTACCTGGGTGAGATGAACTGTGGAATGAATCCGAAGAAGCAGGAGTCTGTGATAAGGGTGGGCAAATGTTAGACAGTGGTTGGTGTACACCAGTGTCCCAAATCCCCTAATTAAAGATGACAATGTCTGAATCTCCATGTGGAAACTCTCATGAACACTTTCCATCATAAGAAGAGTTGTGGTCTGCAAGTGAGGTCAAAGATATATTTATACCAACGATAGCACAGAAGTGTGAGCTCCAGATTTCCAGCAGCAACACATGTGCTTTTCCATGCCCAGGAGAGACAATTCCCATCCTTGCATCTAGGAAATGCCAGGGAAGAAGGCAGCTTCTTTATCTTTTCTTCTTCCTCCTCCTCTGAATGACAGTGGCTGATCAGGTGGCAGTAGCAACACACTTGATGAGGACAAGTAGCAGACCTGAGTTTTTAGAATTCTAATAGAAAACCAAAACATATGGGCTGAGCATCACAGTGCAAGGTTCAGTCTTCTGTTATGGAATTAACCAAATTCTCACCATGGCCTGTAGCATAAAGGAAGAAAGCTTCAAAACACCTTGCTGGTCCAGTGAGAAATCTCCTTGAGGGAACTAAGAATTTTGGATGTGTGTGTTTGGATGCTGCTGTGAAGTAAATCACAACAAGGAAAAAATTACAGAGAAAATAAAGGTTGATGAAAAACTATTCTGAAAAGAAACGCTGCAGGTCTTCATTTCCCACTCATGATTAATTTTGTGTTTCAATTCATTTTCAGCCAAGTCTTGAAAGTTTGAAGATATTTTTTTCCAACTCCCTTGACAAAGTCTCCTGGAAGTACCCAGAGCTTCGTCAAGTTCATCACCCTGGTTCCTGCCAATGCAAAACTGAAATAAAGTAACAGGCTCAGCTTTTCCCTTCCTGGACATCCATCCATCTTTCACAAAAGTTGCTTCCATCCAGCCTCTCCCACATATGCAGAAGGACCAACTTCAGTCCAGTGACTCCCACAAGAAAAAAAGCTATTGGAGGATGTATATATTCTCTTTGTGTAATGGTCTAGAACATAGAGGTCTCAATTGAAATTTGTCATTTGATTGCTAGATACATTTAATATTTAGCTTTTTTCATCTTTCTTTTCCCAAAACACTGCCTAATGAGCATTGTTTAAAGTTCTGTGATTCCATATATTTCATATGTTCTCAACATAGATGGAGAATACTTGGTCATGCAACTAGTTTAACTTGATGAACATTTTAAATTAATGTACTATTAACAGGACCAGAAAATAAACAAGATTGTTTGAAACATGTTTTTCTTATAGTATAAGATTGCACTTTGCATAAATACAGGTACCTGAACCTGCCTTCTAATGGAAAAGGACTGTCTGAGAAAAGGGCTTTATTCACATTAACAGACAGTCAAAGGGGAAAGGTCCCTGTGTTTGGAAACTTTGATTTCACTAACAAGTAGAGGTACCTTCCAAAATTATTTTTGCAATATCTTCTTTTGCTGTATCAGTTATTAAATTATTCATTCTTCACTGACTAATTCATCGTAATTTTCATTCTTTCTTATTACCAGGAAACAAAGTTCACTAAACTTCCACCAACTTTATTAGCGTTAGGTGCTGAAGGGAGCCTAAATCTTTAGCAGCATAAGCACAAACAGGTCATGTGAGAAACTGAAGATTTCCTAGGCAAAAACAGAAGTCAGGTAAACAACCTTTCATCAGACTCTCTTTCAGAAAGAAGTAACAATTAGAATAAATAACATGGAATCCTCACTCTGTGACCCTTGGGTGGCAAGATGTTCTTCTGTGCAGTCAACAGTGGGAATAAATATTATTTTAGTCTCACCTTCCAATGGGTTCACATTCCAGTCCTCTTTTAGTAAGAAAGCTGCTTGAAGATTTCAAGTCCCAGAGCCTTTGGCACGGAATAATTTCAGCACACATTTCTGACTGATTCATTTCAGTGGCATTTCTTCTAGTGTGAAAATGATTATTAAGTAAAAACCCCAATTTCACAACTCAGGTGTGTGTGCTGGAACATGACTTACTGCACCCTTAAATAATTAACACAGGTCCAAGTAAGAATGAGGATATAGCAATAGCTAATCCAATGTTGTTACCATTAAGGAAATAGGCAGAACCATCACCCTCATTCCTAAGAGAGTCCTTTACTATGAAGAAAGAAATCATAGAATCATAGAATCATTAAGGTTGGAAAATACCTCTAAGATCATCAAGTCCAACCATTTATCTAACACAGCCAGGTCCACCAGTAAACCATATCCCTAAGCACCATAGTTACACATTTTTTTAACACTTCCAGGAGTAGTGATTCCACCACTTCCCTGAACAGCCTGTTCCAGTGCTTGACAACCCTTTCTGTGAAGAAGTTTTCACTAATGTACAATCTAAACCTCCCCTTGCACAATTTGAGGACATTTCTTCTTGTCCCATCTCTTGTTACCTGGGAGAAGAACCTGACCCCTACCTGGCTACAACCTCCTTTCAGGGAGTTGTAGAGAGCAATAAGGTTGTCCCTTTCTCCAGGCTGAGCCCTCCCAGCTCCCTCAGCTGCTTCTCATCAGATTTGTGCTCCAGACCCTTCCCCAGCTTCACTGCCCTTCTCTGGACTCACTCCAACCCCTCAATGTCTTTCTTGTAGTGACTTCTATTCCCTTCCACTGTAACTTATACTATAAGAACTGATTTTTCAGTCACTCGTAAGAGTAAAGTAGTGTAAGGATGTAAAAATCAATCCTCATACACCTCACCCCTGAAGACACGGGGAATAAAGGTCAATAAGCCTAATTTAGATCCCCAGGGAGATAATGAAGCAAATTTTTTACCTGTCATTTTGTAATCAGTAGAGCATAAAATATCAGCATGGATCCTTCATGAACTGATCTTGCCAAAACAAATTCTCTTCAGTGAGTCACTCAGATGAGTGGATGCTGTTTTGGCTTTGGTAACATGTTTGACAAAGCCACAAAAGTAATTTCCAAATTAGGGAGATATGGTTCAAATGAAAGTAATAAGACCTAGCACATACATACTGTTGAACACACACATCCATGATCCTCCTGTGCAGAGGGCGAAGATGGAGACCTCTGGCACTGCAGGGAATAGTTGCACAGATGGACAGTACCCACAGCCAGAGCTAATTGCACAGTTCTTCCATGTGATGTCCATAACCTTCCTCTGGGGGCTGACCTGGTGGAAAGCAGCTCTGCAGAGAAGGACCTGGGGGTCCTGGTGGATAATAAGCTTCTCTGTGAGCCAGCAGTGTGCCCTGGGGGCCAAGAAAGCCAATGGTGTCCTGGGGTGCATTAGGAAGAGCACTGTCAGTAGGTCTAGGGAGGTGATCCTGCCCCTCTGCTCAGCCCTGGTGAGGCACATCTGGAGTGCTGTGGCCAGTTCTGGGCTCTTCAGGACAAGAGAGAATGGAGCTCCTGGAGCAGGTCCAGTGGAGGGTGACAGTGATGAAGGGACTGGGGCATCTCTGATGAGGAAAGGCTGAGGGAGCTGGGGCTGTTCAGCCTTGAGAAGAGGCTGAGAGGGGACCTCATCCATGTCTGTCAGTGTCTGCAGGGAAGGGGCAGAGGATGCACCAGGCTCTGCTCAGGGATGCCCAGCAATGTGACAAAATGCTACGGGCAGGAACTGATGCCCAGGAAGTTCTGCCTGAACAGGAGGAAGAAGTTCTTTCCTGTGCAGTGACTGAGCACTGGAACAGACTGTCCAGAAAGGTTGTGGAGTTTTCCTCACTGAGATATTCCAGAACTATCTGGACACAATCCTGTGCCATGTGCTCTATGACCACTGCTTTATGTGTGGTCCAGCTACCGATGTTTCTAGGGCATGAGGACAGTTCAGTGACTGACTGTGGTATCAAAGGGTCATGTTGCAATAAGACAGTGCTGGTAAAAGACTTAAAAACCATTATAATACATTCTCCATAATTGCAAGGCAGCATGCCTTGTCCCTGATAGGTCCGTATGGTCACTGGGATCCCTACATCAGACCATACACTCCTCCTCTCCCATCCTGTTCCCTCTTCATTTCACCTTTCGAGGTGAAACCCTTGATACCTTAAGAACAGGACCTTAAGCAACTGGATGTGCTTGACTTGCCTATACCCTGTACCTGCCCTAAGCTGCTGGAATTAAATTCCCGCATTCTCTCAGAGACGGAGCCATTCCTGAGGTGTGGGGAATGGCTAAACAAGAATATGTTTCTAGTTTAAATGTGCCTTAAGATCTTCAGCTGCAACACTCGAATAAAATAGAAAACAGGTCAAATGAAGCACTCGTTAGTTGAAACCCCTCTACAGTGTTACTGCTAAGAATTTAGTGCCAGGGGAATACATTGCAGAGTCTGTTATGTATTTATCTCTCAGATTATCAGAGGATGGTGTCAAAGAAAATGATAAGTAAAAGATAAGCTCATTCCAGACTGACAAGACCATGTTGTCTAGGTGGCTTGAACAGCAACACAGCAATGTGTTAACCAGCATCGTTAGCAGAATCAGGAGCAGGAATTGCATGCCTGATGGCACTTGTGAGGAGCAGACACTATCTAATGAGTGCCACGGGTCCATGGTTAGTGCCGTGTACTGCCAGCTACATCTGTGAAACAAGGTGAAGATAAAAGATAAGGAATAATAAAGCAGGATGTCATTAATCAGCTCCTACAGAAGTAGCGTATCAGTAGATAGCATTTAATAATACATTGCCCCAAGCAGCTCAGTGTCTGAGCCTGATCTCATCTTCTGCACAAAGCATCTCCCCTGAGCCCCAGCTGTCTTTGTTCACTTTGTGAACTGCAGCATCGGACCCACTCTGCTGTCAGTGGGTGGCAGCAGGAGGCCCATCCTGCCAGGAGGGGATACACAATATACATGTTAGCTTCTGCTGCATTTAAGGAAATAACACCAAATAACAAGGCCATTTAGGCTGACCCCTCACCTAATGAGCCATAGTTGCCAGCCGGTCCACACATTACCAGTTAATATAAAACAAGATTATACAGGTCGAGCACTGGTTGGCCAAGAGGGACCACACAGCTCCTGAGTAAACCAAAGCAAAGTTTACCCATTAAAACATCAGGAAAACTAATGTAGGAGGTAGGATCCATAGAATCATAGAATCATGGAATGGTTTGGGTTAGAAGGGATGTTAAAGATCATCTAGTTCCAACCCCCTCCCATGGATAAGGATACCTTCCACTAGAACAGGTCACTCAAAGACCCTTCCAACTTGGCCTTGAACACTTCCAGGGATGGGGCAGCCACAGCTTCTCTGGGCAACCTGTGCTAGTACCTCACCACCCTCACAGGGAAGAATTCCTTCCCAATTTCTAACATAAATCTACCCTCCTTCAGCTTAAAGCCTTGTCCTATCATTGCATGCCCATCTTGAATTATTCTAGTCATCTACATCCAGTTTAGTCCTACTGACTGTCTTTAAAGGGGATAAGGGAGAGAAACTGGTGAATTTGTGGAACAATTCATAAGAAACTCAATTTATCTCAAACAGAGACATTATGTCATAACCTGGGTTGGCAAACATCTACACACAGGGCTGGTGCTGCACTGCAGGATCTACAGAAAAATGAGGGGATCATTTCAGACTGCTAAAAGCAATTGCTATTGGTCTTCATCTTTGTAGTCAGTGAAACTGTTTGCCACTATATTGACTTGACTGGACTAGAATTAATTTTCTTCATGGTAACTCTTAATGTTCTGGATTTGTGACCAAGTCAATGTTGATTACACACTGGTGTTTTAGCCACTGCTGAGCAGGGCTTACACAGAGTCAAGGTTTTCTCTGCCTCTCATGCTGCCCCACAAGTGAGGGACCTGTGGGTGCAGAAGAAAGGGAACACAGATGGAAGAGCTGATCCCAACTGACCAAAGGGATATTCTGTAACATATAACATCATGCTCAGCAACAAAAACTGTGGGAAAGAAGGAGGAGGGGAGGGACTTCTGGAGTAATGGTATTTGTCTTTCCAAATCACCATTACATGGGATGGATGCCTACTTTCCTGGGGATGGCTGAACACCTGCCTGACCATGGGAAATAGTGAATGAACTCCATATTTTGCTTTGTACATGTGTACAGCTTTTGTTTCACCTATTAAAGTGTCTTTACCTCAACCCACGAGCTTTTGCATTTTTACCCTTCTAATTCTCTCCCCCATCCTACAAAGGTGGAGTGAACGAGCAGCTGTGGGGCTCAGCTCCCCCTTAGGGCTAAACCACAGCAGCCATAAAAGCTTTGCCTTCTCTCAGTGTCTCTGTCCATTTTAGGAGGGCTGGAAGTAGATGATCTTTCAATGTCCCTTCCAACCATTCTATGACTCTATAACAAAGGAGGTTATAGTCAGGTGGGGGTCGGTCTCTTCTCCCAGGCAACCAACAGTAGGACAAGAGGGCACAGTCTTAATCTGTGCTAGGGAAGATTTATGTTGGACATTAGGAAGAAATTCTTTACAGGGAGAGTGATCAGACATTGGAATGGGCTGCCCCGGGAGGTGGTGGATTCACCATCCCAGGAGGTGTTTAAGAAGACATTGGATGTGGCACTTTGTGCCACAGTCTGTTTGACATGGTGGTGTTGAGTCATAGGTTGGACTTGATAACCTCAGAGGTCTTTTCCAACTTAGTTGATCCCATTATTCTGTGATTCTGTGAGATGTAGCGAATTTTTTCCATGCTGCTGCTTCCAGCAAGTGTGTCATGTTATGGACACCTTCTGGGTGAGTTAGTGTATGAGCTCGGTTCTGGGGAAGCAGCAGGCAGGTTTCAAAGACAAAATAGCAGTTGTGCAGCATGCCTGAATATCCCATATATATGGCATACATGTGGTGTGTGTAGTGTTGTCTGTCCCTCCCTATGAGGTGTGTTGCATGTTGTGTGACTATGCAACTGGGAAGCATGCCAGCAAATGCAGACTCTAAAAATAGCCCTGGGATCTAGGGCAGGAGTGGGTGATGTGTGTACACATCACTGTGTGTTCACACACAGTGGGAATGATGTAGCTGTGAGCAGCTAAGCAGTTGAAGAAGGGAAGAGGTATGATTTTGCACTGATTCTCACAGAGGAAACAGCACAATTTGATCATTCCTAGAGACCACATAGAGATACCATCAAGCAGGCTCCAAAGGTAACAAGCTGATGAGAAGATGAATCCATTGGGAGTAGGTTTTCCTTCTGGTGACCTTGCACTTCTGTTTCGAATAAACATGAACTCACTCACATGGGTCTTCCTCACATGTCCATTGTAGAATAAAACACATTCCCTGTGTATTTTAGTGGATACATACACACTGTTGTCCATCACTAACTGATTTCTACAGGCCTCATAAGCCACCAGCGTGCCTGTAGCAAATGTGGATAGAGCCTTCCCAAATCTTCGTTCGCAAAGCCTAGCCATGATGACAGTAGGAAGAGTAAATGTTGTCTCCATGGCAGGACCTAAATCTCTTCTTAGCTTTAGGCCTCTGGTCTTTTCTAGGTCTTCCTCTGAAACCTTTCCATCCATTCTTTTTTCCATGTCTGTTTGTACTGACACATTACAGAGAGGCAGAACATAGGCTTGAGCACTAACATGGTTTTCTGTACCTTTATAATCTTAGTCTTTGACATTAGTTTGGCTTAGATCAACCATCATGACCTTCCAAAAAAGCCTTGGTATGGTTGAAAGGTTAATAATGCCAAAGACCTTTCATTATCAGCAGCTTGGAAGACATGGTTCAAGAGGCAGAGTGTCCAGACCCAAACCAGCTGGCCTTGAGACCCAAAAGTTATCCTAGACACATAGTACTATAGACATAGCATTCATGTCCTTGCAGCTCTCCCTTACTTCTGTTCTCAAAACAATTATCTTCCTCAACCTTACCCTGAAAGAGATATAGAATAGTGAATGGCTTGACCTATATGATACTTTTTTTAAAAATCTTGGTGATGTCCAAGCAGTCATTTACTTTATCTGCTTATCCAGCCTGTCTCAGGCACCTGCTGTAAGAAGAGGAGGTGAAATGCAGACCTGAAGTGCCTCCATTATGTCCAAAGGCAGCAGAAGGAGAATGGCTCTGAAGGAGAATCCTGGTTTCTAGAGCTGGCTGAGACGAATCCCACTCCAGCAGTCCAGATCATGCTCTTGCAGGGACAGGTCTTCCTCATCATCTGCAAATCCGAGTGACCTGTATCTATAGACAGGTTAATTTTAATGACAACAGGCTTGGCTGGGGTGGAGCTGGGAGGTGAGGGATGTGCAGGGCAAAAGGGTGGTCGTTGAAAAGCCAGAAACTGAACAGTAGAGATACTGGCAGGTGGCTAAACACTGAGAGATTTTCTGCACTTGGTCAAGAGAAGAAGTTTAAGAAGCACATTAAGACAAGTAGTTGTGAAACACTGCAGAGAAGTGAAGTGACTAATCCCACCAGATGAACTAGTTATTTTCCCCTTTTCAAATCCTGAAAGCACAGAGATCATCTACAACATCACATGTTCATAGGAGACCCCAAATTCTTGATCTCCCTTCAATTATATTACAGATGATGAGTTTGGTCAAAGCAGACAGTGACTGAGGCACAGGAGGTAGCAAGAGGGAGAGGTGTCACCACAGAACCATGCAGCCAAACAAATCGTCTCTGTAGAATCATAGAATGGCTTGGGTTGGAAGGGACCTTGAAGACCTTATTACAAAGAGCATTTGTAACTAAAAGCTGCCTGGTTTTTCTCTGTTATTTTCTCTGATTCTGACTAGACCAGCAGGTCACAGCTGTGTGACATCTGTAGGGCCAGTGAAGAGCAGTGATTCTGTAAGCACCTCTCACAGAGCTATAACCAGCTGGGAAAAAAATTTGTGACAGAAAAAAATGTACTAAAAGTGTCCACAGGAAAAATACAACTGAGAAGAAAGGACTGAAAAAAGGGCACATGGTCACCCCTGTGTTAGCTAAGCCTGGCTCTCCCTTGTGTTGTCTCACCTGAATGCAGGTTAACAGAGATGTTTCATTGGAGCAGAGTTGAGTGTGACAGTCTGATTTCAGGCTGTTCCTTCTCACTGACTTTAGAAGAAGGGTAAAGTATTCACCTGTTCAGTTTACGACTTGCTGTGAGAATCTGTCGCTTTTGACATGGTGCCAGAACATGTAAATTGTTTGGTTTGCCATAATTCCAATCTCTGCTGACTCTGTTCATATATATTTTGATCAAATTACCAGAAGAGCTTATATCCTCCTTAAGCTGCCTTTAACAAATCTTCCAGTAACTAAAGAATTAATCTAACTTTAATAAATCCCTAGGAAATAATTCAGCCTTGACAGAGCCTGTTAAGAAATGTGGTTTAATTTTGTGTGCCTAATAAAACAAACTTCTAATTTTCTAAAGCATTTTTCATTGAAAAGCCTTGGCTTTTTTTTCCCCCAAAAAACCTATGCTTTCTCTTCTGTCATCAATATACAAACTGCCTGGATTTTCTTCCTCCAAGTGTTTACCTTAACTACTGAAATATCATTCTAAAGCCAAATAAAAGCTAAAATAGGATCAAAAAAGCCCTATAATATATGATAAGGATATATATACACATATATATGATATACATATATGTCCCTGACAGGGACAGAGTCCAGCTAAACTAACAGATGCTTCAGTTTCTACAGATTTGACTGCAGATAGTTGGTTTTTTATTATATATTGATATAAATTATTGGGTATCAAAACTACACAATCAACCCAAGCTGCATCAACTGTGGAAGTGATTTAATTTTTGTAACAGTGTGTATTTTCATGAACAAAGGTAAAATCACAGGACAGTGCAAGGGATACAATATTTCCTAGAAAATGCTGAAATCTAGTACCAACACTGGTTAGACAGGAGGCCTTTTTCCTCGTCAGGAGGAAGACCCATATCCCTTGAATCCTGCATTAATCTGGATCATATCCTGGCCACGTCAGACACTGTGCGTATGAACCGATTATTTATTTCACATGCAGCAGCCTGACACACGTGCAATCCTGAAGCCTTGCTGTGCCACATCAGATGTCATAGGAGGTTGCCCAGTGATTCCCAGTGCTGGCAGATGTGTGACCAGGTGATTCTGCTCCTGCATTTTTCCCCTTGCCGTGTCGCAGCTGGAATTGCAACACACTCACCAAGCTACGAAAAAACTGCTCAGTCTTGTTCAGAAACTTGCCTTCATTGAAAATATAGGAGTGCCCTCTGGTGGAAAACTGAACAGCTGAAGTTTCAGTGTCACTAAAAATTTCCATTTTTCCTCAAATGCAAATAAGAATTTGTTGCTAGCAAACCAGAAGGTCAAGTCAATTCTTAGTTACATTACTGGATATTTCAAGGCCAGGTTGGTCCTGAATTTTGTCAATCTGCAAGGAAGCCTTCAGAGCCCTGAGGTTCCAGACTGTTATCCCAGGGGCAATGGTTAGATGAAAATGTCATAGGATCATAGAATGTTAAGGGTTAGAAGGGACTTTACACATCATCTAGTCCCAACCCCACTTCCATGGGCAGGGACACCTTCCACTGGTTGCTCAAGGCCTTATCCAAGCCTGGTCTTGAGCACTACCAGGGTTGGGACATCCACAACCTCCCTGGACAACCTGTTCCATCATTTCACCATCCTCACAGTAAAGAATTTCTTCCTAATATCCAACCTAAATGTCCCCTCTTTCAATTTGTACCCATAAAAAGTATCGCATTAAAGTGAAAATTTCCAGGGACTCCTAGAGACACTGTCATCAACCCAAGGACAACTAAAGCAGCACAAGCCAAGACTAATTTCAGTTGCTCTGACATGAATGTCTGCTGGTGATACAGCTGTCCCTGCTGGGAGTGGGTCTGTGTTAATATAATAACTCCGTGTCAGTATAAAGCCCTTCTGTCTGTATGTCAGTGTGTGTAGGTTTGAAACTTCAATCAGATACCACTACCTGAGCAAATCTATCAAAATCATATAAAAATGTGGAAAAATAGAGCTTGCAAAGAGATAAGAAAGCCTCTGTCATGACACCCACGCAGTTGTATCCCCAGATTGTCTATCCAACAAGTTGCTGTGTGTGCAAGAGTGTGTCCTTAGCCATCCTGCCCTGCCCAGGAAGGGGATAGATATATGGTCTCCATCAGAAAGCAAAGGGACACCACTCTCACAGGACAATTGCTGTCTGGAGCTGCTTATTAGTGAGAATATTCAGCAGTGCATGGGGTTACATTCACTTTCTCCTTGTTCAAAGGATGAGCCTACCTTTTAACTCATGTGCTTGGTCATTCCTGGAGGCTGGAGGTGCAAAACCTCCACATAGATTGGAAGTGGTCCCCTAAGGCATCCTGGGAAAACCCCTGCACAGAACTGAAGCATATAGAATCATAAAGTCATAGAGTTATAGAATCCTAGAATGGCTGGGACAGTAAAGGACCTTAAAGATTCTCTATTTCCAACCCCTTGCCATGGGCAGGGACAACTTCCACTAGACCAGGTTGCTCCAAGCTCCATCCAGCTTGGCCTTGAACACTTCCAGGGATGGGCAACCACAGCTTCACTGGGCAACCTCTGCCACCACCCTCACACCAAAGAATTTCTTCCCAATATCTAATCTAAATCTCTCCTCCTTTAGTTTAAAACCTCTCTCCCTTGACCTATCCCTACCTGCCCATGTAAAATGTTGCTCTCCTTCCTTTTTTTTTAAGCCCCCTTTGAGTCCTGGAAAGCCACAATAAGGTGTCCCTGGAGCCTTCTCTTCTCCAGGTTGAACAACCTCTGTGATGCACAATTTCGACAGCCAGCTGAGCAATCTCATCCTCATCAATGCAAGAAAGAAAAGAAAGAAAAGAAAGAAAAGAAAAAAAAGAAAGAAAAGAAAGAAAAGAAAGAAAAGAAAGAAAAAAGGAAGAAAGGAAGAAAGGAAGGAAGAAAGGAAGAAAGAAAGAAAGGAAGAGAGAAAGGAAGAAAGAAAGAAAAAAAGTATTTAGGGAGGAAAATCAAGGAAAGGAGTAGTAATTTGTTCTTAAACTCACACCCTCAGATGATGACATTCTTTTAAAGTAAATATACATTAACTTTTATAAGTTATTATTTGATAACCTCAGCAGAGTTTGTGATTTGGTGTTTGGCACTAAAAGTGTTCTTGGAGCAGATGAAAAAATTCCCTGCTTGTACAAATGGAATATTAGAGAAAAATTACTTTGGCAAACAGCAAATTTCCTGGTAAACACTCTCTGGCTCTGTGGGAGTGGTACCTCACTGACTCAAAGTGTTTGCTTTCCACAGAGCAAAGGACAAGCAAGACAAAAGTCTGTGGGACTGCAACCTGCAGATCTGTCATATGAGAATGTCATGATGTAAAAGCTTTTTTCTATTTCTCTCCTAATGCTGCACAGGTATGGGGATAATCCAGGCAGTGACATTTAAACCCCTGGCCATACACAGGGGAAATGCAATAAATCTCCATGTAAATGGTACTCATGCAACGGAACACAGGACAGATCCACCTGCAAGATTACAGAGAGCAGTGAAATGGCAGAGGTGGAGTCAAGGCTGATGGAATTCACCTCTGATACTTAAAAGAACTAATTGAACAAACCTTTGAACCACGAACAAGTTTCGAGGCCAGGTTGGACAGGGCTCTGAGCATCATGTCATCCCTGCCCATTGGAATGAGGTGATCCTTAAAGTCCTTTCCAACCCAAACCATTCAGTCATTCTATGATTCCAACACCCAAATACATGAAGGCAGTCATCACACAGAAGTAATTTAGAGCTTTGCAAAGATAGATATGGAACTTCCACTGAAAAAAGTTCCTAAAGGAGCATTTGAATCATTGACCTCATTTGATCTGAATCAAATTATTGAAAAAGCAATGCAAAAATCCATGGAAGCTATGTTGATAGCAAAACACATCTAATATTTCAAACTTCCATCAAGCAAACCTGTGAGATGAAGAGGCCTTGTGGTAGCAAAGTCCTTAAAAGGGAACTTTTACATTTTCCTTTACGTACCCAAAGCAGAAATGTGAAACAAGTTACTCTGCTGCTCTGGTATGCAAACTGCTGGCACATGAGATAAGAACCTGCTTGTGTTCAAGTGGGAGAATCAAGGTTCAAATGGAATAATTATGTCAAGTGGTTGGATATGGTAAATTAAACACAGACAGTATGAACAGGAAAATGGTAGGGCTGGTTTGGTTTGCAATGGCACTCACACTTACTGTGCCAGTAATACCATACACAGTCAAGATTGCACAGGGAATGCTCAGAAATGTGGTTTGGATACATTAGAAGTAAAACTAGGTTTTAAGGGGAAAATGGGATTAGGAAAGGATTGTTTGTTTGAGGGGGTTGACGAGGAGGTAATGGGGCATGAGGTCAGGGAAAATCTGGGGTCAAACTCAGAAAAAATGGAAAATGAAGAATAGAATCAAAAGGCACTAGAAAGGGAATCTTCTGGCAGCAAGAGTGTGGACACCTGCAGACATCAGTGATACCAACCTGTGGACATGAGTCCCCCAGAACAGCTGAGGGGCACCCACTGAACAACCCAATGTACTTTTTATCAGGTCAACATCTTGGTAGGGGGAAGAGGACTGGGTCACATTATTTATAAAATTGTAATCTGATAGTGGATCTGTATCTTAAGTTAGATTTAAGAGCTATAATTAATAATTTCATAGTTGCACATAATACCTGCATTGCTATAGAGCAGTCAATTAATATTCATAGAATGACTTGTGTAGGAAGGGACCTTAAATATCATCAAGTTTCAAACCTCCCCACCTTGGGCAGGGATGCCACACACTAGCCCAGGTTGCTCCAAGCCCCATCCAACCTGTCCTTGAACACTTCCAGGGATGGAGCAGCCACAACTTATCTGGGCAACCTGTGCCAGTGTCTCACCACTCTCTGAGTAAAGAATTTCTTCCTAATATCTAATCTAACCCTGCCCTCTGTCAGTTTGAAGTCATCACCCTTGTCCACAGTCCCTCTTGAGCTCTCTTGGAGCCCCTTTACGTACTGAAAGGTGCTCTAAGGTCTCCCTGGAGCCTTCTTTTCTCCAGGCTGAACAATTCCAGTTCCCTCAGCCTTTCACATTCATCTAAGCATTCAGTTCAGTTGAGTCCACAACTTCCTGAGGTGTCCTAGGGTATCCTGCCAGGCTCCAGCTACAATCTGGAAAGGCACAGGTCTTCCACATGTACTTAGCAACATCTTTAGCACTTCAAGGGTGTCTTGGACATCTTGCTTTATATGAAATGGTGCCAAGTGCCTCCATATGGGTGTTGCATTTAGACTTAGGTCTCCACTAACCTAGAAGATCTCCTTCCCTCTGTCAGATTTAGAAATCTACATTTTAGATACCGTCTTTTAGTCAGACACAACTGTATTTTATGGCTTCTCTCAAAAGAGTCTATTCATCGACTTGTGAAGAATTGTATGTATTTGCTTTTCCCCACCTTTTCCACAGAAAAGCACTGACATAAGCACGTGTACCGAGATATCATTGATACTGCTGTGAATACCTGGATATTCTCCAGCAGCAGAAAGCTGTAAAAGATGAGTATCAGTTTCAATTAGGAAATATTATTTCCTTACCAGTTATTTTTCTGCACTCCATTACAGAACAGAGTGTTCTAGGTTCCTCTCTCTGGAATGAGTGTACATTTTCTATCAGATCATGTCTCTCTACAGGGGAAAACATTGCAGGATGCAGAAACCAGAATTCTATGCCTCTCTTTACAGCACTTTTTCTCAGGGCCTTTTTCAGGAAATTACATACTCCTTGCCTTTTTTCCCATCCCATGTTTCCTACACGTCAGGCTATGGAATGGCTCAGCTTTAGTGAGGGGTGTGGAAAGCCCTCTCAGGCAAGATATTCTGTGAATGTGTATATAAAAGACCCTCTGGTTGTGTAGGTTAGATCCATCTTTTATCAAGTAGTTTCCAAATTCAGAGTGTTATAAAATCTATGCTATTACAAAAAAAAATGGTGAGAAGCCACTCCACAAAGAACCTTGGTTGCGTCTATAGGTAGTTAGTTCAGAAATTATTATGAGTCAAACTGCAATTAATCAGCAATATCATTTCCAAATGGCTCTTCAAGCTGGGATTCCATGATTTTAAATGGAGATTCAATGAATACTTCTTTTCACTGCTCCAAATGTTTATCATTTGCTTACTATAACCAGTCCAATGGAATGCTCCATGTAAGATTTACTGATTTGTAAATTGGATTTTCCTTATATCTTTTACATTTTAACATAACTTTCTGTTGCACCAAGTTCAAGATATTTTTTACCAACTGAACACTATTACAAGAAGACCAAACTTCTTTCTGTGCCATCTACAATGCCTCTGGTTTACTCTTAAGTCAAATGCAAGAAAAGACTAAAATGCTCATAATAAACATTTAAGGAATATAAGCATGTAAAAGAATTCATTTAGGGTCCACCTTTTTTTAAAGATTTCACAGTAGAAGATCCTACATTGTTGTCACTATTGCTAATTAGAGGAAACCTTTTTTCAAGCAAATTCATGAAGCAAACAAAAAGGAATTAACAAAAATCTTCAATTTGTGTAGCTTGTTTTTCACAGACACCCATGTCTGAAGTCATTAACAGTGTAAACTGAAGTTGAGCCTGTAAAACCATTTTTATCCATGAGTACAATGCAAATATCTCCAGATCATCATTAAAATTGAGATGTCAATGACAATTTGAGTATGCATTTTTTTGTGTCTTCCACTATTAACTGGAGGAAAACAGATGTATTTTCCACTTTCTTTGAAAAAAAAATAAGAAATAAATAACTCACTTATTAATAACTATATCAAAGGTCAGTTTGCATTCTAAGAAATGTTACTTTGGTTTGTTTTCTCTGTTTCCTGTTCATCGGATTTATTTTAAATAACAGATTTGGTCTAAAAGATCCACTGTGCATAAATATGTTTTGTTTGGTTACACCTAACTATTGCAGACAAAGACATGTCTGAAAAAAATAGTACTGTTCTATGTGAGGTTTCCATGCTGAATTCTTTTGTGTTTACTTTCCTTGTATCCTTCTATATTATTAACATTCACTCATGACAACCATTCGTTTATTTGTTTTATGGGAGAGATGTGATTGAAGGGATGTAGTTTATCTCTGTCATTGACCTGTATCTGATAGTTTCACTTATTCTAATCTAATATTTTAAACAAATTAGATAAGCTGCTTCCTAATGGCAACTTTAGAAGTGTGTTTTATCTACTTGCTAAAAAGGAGATGAAAATGTCTAACTCAAATACAAGACTTTCACTTTTGAGTTGTCCCAGGAGTTGGAATGAGTTTTACCCCAGATTT